AGGTGGGTCTCGAACCCGCGGGCTCAGGCAATCCACTCACCTCAGCCTCCCAAGGCTCAGCATTACAGGCTGAGCTACCGAGCCCGGTATTTTTTTAAATCTTAAAATCATGTATGAGGCCGGGCTCAAGTGGCTCAGCCTATAATCCCAGCACTTTAGGAGGTTGAGGTGAGAGGATTGCCTGAGCCCACGGTTTGAGACATACCCGGGCAACTTGGTAAAACCTCATCTCTACAATAAATCAAAAATTAGCCGGGCGTGGTAGCGTGTACCTGTTGTTCCAGCTACTTGGGAGGCTGAGGCAGAAGGATCGCAGGAGTCCAGCAGTTTGAGGCTGTGGTGGCTGGGAGCATTCCACTGCACTCCTGCCTGGGTGACAGAGTGAGACTCCAACTAAAAAAAAAAAAAAAAAATCATGTATGAGTAGCATCTCAAGAGACCATAAATAGCCAAAACAGCCCTAGCAAAGAAGAGCAAAGTTAGAGGCATCACACGTTCTGATTTTAAAACATGTAACAAAGTTACTGGAATAAAAACAACATGGTACGACATACAGAAAGACAAATATAATGGATCAGAATAGGAAACCTCAAAATACACCCTTTTAATATAATTAAATGAACTTCAACAAGATTGCCATGACCACACAATGGAGGAAAAAACAGATTCTTCAACAAATAGTGTTGGAAAACGGGCTATCCACAAAAGAAAAATAAAGATGGAATCTTAAATCATATACAAAAGCTATCTGAAATGATTACAGAATTAAATGTAAAAACTATAATTATAAAGTTATTAGAGCGAAATATAAGATGGAAATTTAGATACTCATCTTGTCAATGCTTCCTTAAGCCTATCAAAAGCATAAGCAACAAAGAAAAATAAAATGTTGCTTACTAATCAATGTTTAAAAAAAAAAAACATGAGAAAACATTCAGTGGAGTAAAACGTCTCCTAAGAAATGTGAGAAAACTTTTGCAATTTACATATTTGATAGGATTTAAAATTCAGAACATGTAAATAACTGCTACAATTTAACAAAAATTGAATAACATGATTAAAAAGGGACAAAGAACAGCCATTTCTTCAAAAAAGATCTACAAATGACCAAGAAGTATCTCAAAATACGTTCAAAATGATGAATACTGAGAGAAATGCAAAGCAAAAGCACAATGACATATAACCTCACAACCATCAGGATGGCCACTATCAAACAAACAAAATAAATCTTGCTGAGGATGTGGAGAAATTGGAACCCATGTGCACTGTTGTTGGGGGGGGGAAATGATTCAGCTACTACTGAAAGTACTATGAAAATTCCTCAAAAAATTAAAAATAGCCCCTCTCGACCCGCCTCCCCCCGCCGTCCCCAGCCAGTGGGGAAGCTCCGTCCTGCCGGTGCGATGGGCGCAGCGCCGCCGCCGCCGGGGCGCAAAGTCGGCGAAAGCGGCGGGAAGTTCGTACTGGGCGGAAGGCGGCGTTCCTGCGGCTGGGGTGAAAATGCCTCGTGTAAAAACAGCTCAAGCTGGGAGACAGGGCCCTGCAGAGAGACATCTTGCAGAACAATTTGCTGTTGGGGAGATACTAACTGACATGGCAAAGAAGGAGTGGAAAGTAGGATTGCCCATCGGCCAAGGTGGCTTTGGCCGTCTCTAACTTGCTGATATGAATTCTTCAAAATCGGTTGGCAGCGATGCACCCTGTGTTGTAAAAGTGGAACCCAGTGACAGGGGACCTCTTTTTACTGAATTAAAGTTCTGCCAGCGAGCTTGTAAGTCAGAGCAGATTCAAAAATGGATGCGTGCCCATAAACTGAAGTACCTGGGTACTCCTAAGTATTGGGGGTCTGGTCTACATGATAAGAATGGAAAAAGTTACAGGTTTATGATAATGGATCGCTTTGGGAGTGACCTTCAGAAAATATATGAAACAAACGCCAAAAGGTTTTCTCGGAAAACTGTCTTGCAGCTGAGTTTAAGAATTCTGGATATTGTGGAATAGATTCACGAGCACGAGTATGTGCATGGAGACATCAAGCCCTCAAATCTTCTGAGCCACAAGAATCCCGACCAGGTGTACTTGGTCGATTATGGACTTGCTTATCGGTACTGCCCAGAAGGAATTCATAAAAAGTACAAAGAAGACCCCAAAAGGTGTCACGATGGCACTATTGAATTCACCAGCATTGACACACACAATGGTCTGGCCCCATCAAGACGTGGTGATCTGGAAATCCTTGGTTATTGCATGATCCAGTGGCTTACGGGCCATTTTCCTTGGGAGCATAATTTGAAAGATCCTAAATACGTCAGAGATTCCAAAATTAGATACAGAGAAAATATTGCAAGTTTGATGGACAAATGTTTTCCCGAGAAAAACAATCCAGGTGAAATTGCTAAATACATGGAAACAGTGAAATTACTAGACTATACTGAAAACCTCTTTATCAGAATTTGCAAGATATTCTTTTGCAGGGACTAAAAGCCATAGGAAGTAAGGATGATGGCAAACTGGACCCCAGTGTTGTGGAGAATGGAGGTTTGAAAGCAAAAACAATGACTAAGCGAAAGAAAGAAATTGAAGAAAGCACAGAATCTAGTGTTGAAGATATGGAATGCTCAAATGCTCAGACAGAGACCACTCAAACTCGTTCAAGAACCAGAAGGAGAGTCCAGAAGTAACTCAAAAGCTATGAACCATCCTTTTCATTTGACCTTTTTCTCCTTTTCTATATGAAGTGTTTTATTTTCATGTGAGTCTTGTGGGGTAGGAATAATAATTAGATGCCTATGACTTTGAAAAACATAAACCTTTTTTATTAAAATAAATATTTTTTACAATTGATTAAAGGCTAATATATTCAATTCCAAAATCTTCAGGTTATACACTTTAAGCTCTTCCAAGCTGTGTGTGTTTTCAGGTTTGGGGGTACATATAAGAAAAATTACTATGACATGCACTTTTCTAATCATTGTACATTTTGCAAAGTAGATAAAAATGTGTGACAGAGTCCTCACTTTTAAGGAAATGCGAAACTTAAAATAAAAGTCTCTTTTGTTGATACAAATACATAGTTTATTTTGGCCATAAAAAAAATTAAAAATAAAATTTTCCTATGACCCCACAATCCTACTTCTAGATATCTATCCAAAGTATGCAAACAAACCTGAAATGATATTTGCACACAACCATGTTTATTGCAGCATTATTTACAAAATCCAAAATGTAGAAGCAACATAAATGTCCCTCAATGAATGGATATAGAAAATGTGACATATATGTACACAACACTCTTAAAAATATATAGTCAGGTCAGGGGCAGTGGCTTAAGCCTGTAATCATAGCACTTTGGGAGGCCAAGGCGAGAGGATTGCCTGAGCTCAGGGGTTTGAGACCAGCCTGGGCAACTTGGTGAGATCTTGTCTCTACAATAAATAAAAAAATTAGCTGGGTGTGGTGGTGTGAGCCTGTAGTTCTAGCTACTTGGAATGCTGAGGCGCAAGGATCACCTGAGCCCAGCTGGTTGAGGCTGCAGTGGCTGTGAGCATGCCACTGCACTCCAGCCTGGGTGACAGAGTGAGACTCTGACTCAAAAAAACCAAAAACTGATTGTACCCAGTGTTGGTACTGATATGGAACAACCAGAACTCTCATACACTACTGGTGGGAATAAAAGTTGGTCCAACCACAGATGGAATCACTAACCTCTATGGCAGTAATTGGATTTTAGATGTGGGCTATGATATTTTATGCCAGTAAATATCTGGTATAATAAAATAAAATAAAAACAAGAGGTCATAGGCTCTAGGTAAATTTGAGAGAGTGAAGAGAACTGGTTCCAGGTGATATAACTGGAATTATCCAATAAGATAATTTTTTTTTGAGTCGGTGTCTCTGTCGCCCAGGCTGGAGTGCAGTAGCATGCTCATAGTCACTATAGCCTCGACCTGCTGGGCTCAGGTAATCCTTCCACCTAAGCCTTCCAAGTAGCTGGAATTATAGGCATGCACCACCATGACCAGCTAAATTTTTTATTTATTGTAGTAATGAGGTCTCGCCAAGTGGCCCAGGCTGGTGTTGAACTCTTGGGCTCAGGCAATCCTCTTACCTTGGCTTCCCAAAGTGCTGGGATTATAGGCGTGAGCCACTGTGCCCAACCGTTATAAGATAATTTTTTACACAGAAATATTCTTTTTTTTTTTCGAGTTGGAGTCTCACTCTCACCCAGACTGGAGTGCAGTGGCATGCTCCTGACCACCAGAGCCTCGACCTGCTGGGCTCTGGTGATCCTTCTGTCTCAGCCTTCCAAGTAACTGGAACTACAGGTGTGCACTACCATACCTGGCTAATTTTTTTTTTATTTATTGTAGAGACAAGGTCTCGCCAAGTTGCCCAGGCGGGTCTTGATCCCATGGGCTCAGGCAATTCACCCACCTTAGCCTCCCAAAGTGCTGGGATTACAGTCTGAGCCACCAAGCCCGGTCCAGTAATATTCTTTAATGTATTAGGTCTGAGAAAAAAGGATGAAACAAAATCCACTCAGCCAGTGTCGATACTATACTTCTGTGAATTATGCAGAATAAAATTTGGGCACAGGCATGTACATTTTTGAGTGCTACATTGACATCACACAGAATAAGTTGTTATATTGGTCAGATGGAAAACTTATAATGAGTGAAAAGATCCCTGTCAGGTTTTAATGTGTATAACAATGTATTAAATATCTTGTTAAAATGCAGCTTCTGATTCAGGAGATATAGGGTAAGCCTACGTTTCTACTTTTTTTTTTTCAATTGGGGTTTCTCACTCTGTCACCCACACTGGGGCCAGTGGCATAATCACAGCTCATTGCAGACCTGACCTCTTGGACTGAAAAGATTCATCCTCCTCTGAAGGAGACAAGGACATAAACTGACAAGGTCCTTATGTCCTAAAACACACAAGCTTGACAAGATCCTTGTGTTCCTGGCCTGGCTCCAACAAGAGCTTGACCTGTACTTCCTTTGATGTTTGTACCTGAGAGTGTTGATTTGCTAGAAATCCGTTAGTGTGACCTCTAGTCTGCGTAGTCCAGATGTGGCCTGCCTTGATCATTAACTTTACTTATTAGAGTTTTTAGAAAACACAAATGTTAGTGGTTTTAATTTACATCATAAATAACATGGACGTTAGTGCTATGGTAATCTTGCTGAGAAAGTCCTGATGAGCATTAACCTTCTTCCTGCTGTTGCTAGCATTAAGATATTTCATGTTTATGTAGTTTGACCCCGTATAAGGGGCACGCTGTGAGAATAAAATTGCTCTCATCTATTCAGGAGAGAGTCCTCCCAACCCGCTGTTCTTTGACTTTGACTTTCTTTTCTCATTCCCTCCCCCTCAGGCCTGCTCTCCTGAGACTGGAATTCCGCACTCCTCAGCTTCCCAAGTGGCTGGAACAAACTGGTATCAGGTGCCAAGGCACACAGACAACACAGCATCAGTGCTGAGATATTTTTGACCAAAAAATAGTAAATCATAATCTGAATCTAATAATGAAGCATATGTTTTATGCAGAATTCCAACTACAGGTATCTCCCATGTTCTGTAATCTCAAAAAGTGTACTTATATATTTATATTGTTGTTGTTTATTTTTATTTTTATTTTTTTAGTTGGAGTCTCATGCGGCCACTGCAGCCTCGACCTGCTGGGCTCCGGCGATCCATCCGCCTCAGCCTTCCAAGTAGCTGGAACCACAGGAGTGCGCTACCACACCCGGCTAATTTTTTTGATTTATTGTAGAGATGAGGCCTCGCCAAGTTGCCCAGGCGGGTCTCGAACCTGCGGGCTCAGGCAATTCACTCACCTCAGCCTCCCAAAGCACTGGGATTACAGGCTGAGCCACCGAGCCCGGCTATATTGTTGTTTTTTAAAATCATCCTAGAAAGCAAGACTCTCTTTTTATTATTCTTTATTCAGACCTCCCTGAGTTATTCTGGGCAGTAATGGCCATCTTGTTTAAATGTGCCCCTCACTGCCGGCTCCAGGCCCCATCCCTCTGGTATTGAGTGACTAGGAGATGTAATCAGACAGGTGCTACCTAAGACAAAAAACAGTTTTAGATTTCTCTCTGCCCTGGAACCTGGGAGGGAGGAGAAGGGTGGTGCGTCTCTCTTGGGGCATGCTGGCATGCTGGCATCGCTCTTGATCGGTTGGTCGCTGGGCTGTTGGGCCACACCGTCTCCCCGGGGACATGCTTGGTTTGTGGTCTGACAGCTCCGCGACCAACCGACCTGGAGCCATTTAGACGCCAATGTCCCCAGCATGCCCTGCGAGAGGCGCACAACCCCGCACCTGCCCCCAAGTTTGGTGCAAGAAGCGATCTCAACCTTTTGTTGCCTCATATAACCCCAGTCTGATCACGTCTCCTGTCACTCAAAGCCAGAGTGGTGGTGCTTGAAGCCTTATCCAATCAGCGAACAGTGAGGTCTGAACTGCCCAATCAGACAGGAGCAGGAAGTGAGAGGGCCGCTTCCTGGCTCTAAATAGGTTTTTGTCGCCTGTCCTTGCGACTGTGCTGCTCAGTGCTGCTCTCTGGGAGACCCACGTGTCTTGGCTTCATCCTCTGTCGCCCTGTGACATGCAGGTCCTGGGAGAACCGTAGGGAAGACGCCGGGACACTCAGAAGCCGGGAGATAGTGAGTGTGCGGGCGGGAGTCCCGAGAGGGGGAGGGGTGGTGGGACCGGGTGAACCGACTGTGGCGGGACCGGCCTCCCTGTCAGCTCCGAGCCTGGACCGGTCCCCGCCGGCAGCTCAGCCGGGTCCCTCCGGCGCTGGGTGGGGCTGAGCCCGGGACCCAGGGGTCCTGACCCCACGGCGATCTCGCCCCCTGAGCCGTCCCCGGGCAGCTCCTCGCAGTCCTGCGCGCAATCTGCGGGATCCGGGAAGATCGTGGGGAGGATCCTACCCGCGTGCGGGGCGGTGGAGAGTGACTGTGGTCCTGCCCCCCCCCCCTTTCCCAGGTTAAACGGCGGCTCCCTCACAACGATAAGAAGTTAACTTGGGCAAACAGCGGATCGTGAATCCCGAAGCCCCAGTCAGGGTTTGTGGTGTGGGGTTCCTGGAGAGATTTGGAGGAAAGGCTTTTAGAAGCGGCAGGGGGAAACGGGCCACGTGCAGTTGCTGGTTGGTTATGGTGCCTGGTGGGGTGCGGAGCAAAACTTTTGCGTTCTTTGGCTCATCCCTAAAATAATCAGCTAAGTTTCAAAACGAAGTTTATTAAGAAAGAAGAAAGGAAGGGAGACATGCCAGGGCTGGCATGGGCGAGAGAAACCTCACCCTTCCCTTTTTACAACAGGCATGAAGTATCTCCACAGTGATGGATAAGGTACAGAGGGTGGAGCCCAGGTAACCGCAACTCTGGAAATTGTTATCTTTCCATTCTGAAGGGAGGAGTGGTCTTTTCCTGACCAGCCAGATGTTTCCAATTCACAAGATTATGAACTAAAAAGTAGTCTTATTTCTATGGCTTTGGTTAGGTAAAGGGTGGTATTCCACCTTCTGTCTTCCACAGGGAATCTTTCGATTCTTAGTGATTATTATCCTAAACCATGAATTCAAAGGTCAGACTATCTTATTTGTACACCTGATGAGTTTGTTTGTTTGATTTGTTGAGAGGGTGGTGTAGGCTGCCACCTTGGCCT